GCCGGTTATTTCTGGCCCGGTTTAGCGGCGGGCCCGAGATAAGGCTGATAGAGATAAAACTTCATTGTAGCTTAATGTCGATACCTTGCGACGACGAAACGTTGCGCGCGTTGCGAAAAGAGTATGATAAAAGTGTTCGCGGGCGTAGAACTGAAAGGGAAAATGACGTGCGAGAACGAGTTTTCGGATCGAGCCATAGAGCAACAGCCAATAACGAACAAGTTTTACGTTATGAGCAGGACGGGAGATAAGGCGCGATAAGGGAACCGGAGGTTTATTATGAAAGACACTCAGGTCTGACCAATTCCCCATGTCTGGGAATATCAGTAACGAATGTGCGCAGCACTTTTCTGTATCTATCAATATCGTCACACACAGACTTTTCAATAAATATAAATTCCAATCTCTTCTCGTTTTGGAAAAAGAATGTCATTACACATTTTAATTTCATATACAAATTTAATTATAGTTAAAATTTAATTAAAGAATTTGCGAATATATTTACTATTGTAAGTTAAAATCGATTGAAATTTTAAGAATGTAAATGCGAATGATTACATCATAAAAAAAATTTAATTTTTATTATTAAAAATTCCTAAAAGTAGAACAATGCGAGTTATTCTTTTCGAATAACAATATATGAAAGAAATGTATTTTTTGTGCCTGTTTGTTCGGCAACTTTATTGATTGTAACAGTCTGAATAGTTGCATGCACACAAATGCACAATACAAATCGCGGTTTCAAACTCGACCGAGCACTTTCCCGATCGGCTTTTGCGTCAATCGCTTTCGCGTTTGTCTTAAGCCCGTTCTACATTGATCGCATGTCGCCAGTCGCAAGCAAATCGACCAATCACAATCGATTATTCCGTCGAATATTCGACTGTGATTGGTCGATTTGCTTGCAACTGGCGACATGCGATCAATGTAGAACGGGCTTTAAACGACGCGTTCGTAAGCGCGTCGCAAACAGATCCGCCGTTTCGTGAAATGAATAGATTCTTAAGAGCTCTTTTCCTTTTTTCGATCGTTTAGTTACCGGAAATCGAATAACCTTCAATTTCACACAATTTGAAAATTTGTGTTTTCTTGTTAAAAGATATGCCAGTTAAAATATTTGTTAAATATTTAACACATTCATGTGTTAATTTAATATATTGCTATTGTGTTATTTGAATTCGAATATGTAATTATTAAAACTGAAAAAAAGTGTAAAAATAACACAATGTGCACCTATTTTTAATTTTACACAATAATATGTCAATATGTGTATTATTAGTGATAGGATTTATCTGTTTAAATTTACAGAAAAAAATGTTGATTTTATAATACAATAGGAGTGACAGTGACTACACACCGTCAATAACATTTTTCCAAGTTAATTTTGTCATTAAAAATACGTTGATTTTGACATATTCATATTATGTTAAATTAACACAAAAATTTGTGTGGACTGTTTGGGACGTGATATCTATTAAATTTAACATAAATTTTTCAATTATGCATCGAAACTTTTTACATCGAGTCTGAAACTATTCTGTAAAAAAATGTACGTCATATAATTATTTGATTTCATTCAAAAAGGTTTTTTATAAATAAAAATTGTATGGATGTTTTATAAGTAAATTAGACAAATGAGTGAATCTCTTTTTCGGTGATGCATCTCCTTTGGTTATAACGCTCCTCTTTGGAAAATACGGAGGATGATGAATTTGCTGATGAATGACGAATGACGATGCAACGTATGTAATATTTAATCATGCGCGATCTTATGTTATTACCCGTTAAGACGTGATAAATGATGATCGCACGAAATCAGATAAGCGGCGCAAACATTCAGTATTTCTGGAAAACTAAGAATATCCATATCCACGCGAGATTCGCCAGCATCGAGCTGCCAATCAATCTCATCGAGAGATGCATAGAGACGCACCAATGGCGTCATGTGGCCAATTATATGCGGGGATTTATTCGTTCTTTCAGAGACGCGCCAGTGCATTTTCCACGGCTTTATCTTTTCTTTATTTATACTTTTTCTTTTTTTTTTTGCATCGTCGAATGATAAGAAGTTACGTAATGTTATGCCTCGTGTCGAGAAAAGCTTGGACGAATGATTCACTTAACTAAATTGCTGCGTAATGCCGGGGAATCTTAATTAAGCTCAATTACGTTATACTCGGTAAGTGTAGCGGCCGATAATTCCATTTTATATGAAAAACTGCGAACGATGATATAATGGAAAATAAATTTCCGAGAGACGTGATTTATATATAAATATCTGACATGAGTCAAAACGACGAATGTCTTTGCTGCGGGAAGTTTACTCGGAATCGCTTCTTATGCATAATTAATTAAGGTTTAGCACATTCTAGCTACATTCTAGAGACAGAAGTCTGTCGGAATGATTATTTGTTGAAACAACTAGAATGCTTGCAGGCAATTTTTTATATTACTTGAGTTTGTAAGTATTAAAGCAAAACAGAAAATTAATTTGTTTGAATTATTCAATAAAATTAAGGCTGTTTGAGGATAATATTAATTATTAATTATAATTTACTTGATTGATTTTGATTCAAGATAATCGATTTATGTCCTGCCATTTATAATTCGTATATGACATTATCTAAATGCATTTTGTGTACGTTGTGATAAATAAAGAGGACAATAAGAAATTTTTTTTCCAGCCCCAAGTAAAATACCATGTCCAAATGTTGTGAGATTAACATATCTATGAAATGTTGCGCTGAGAGGGAAAAGGCTCGCAATACGCGTCTACATATTCAGTCTCGTAAGACGCGTTTGCGTGAATGATAAATTATACCGATGTGTCTTCGGTCATGTGCAGATTTTTTACTGACAATCGTTTCTCTTATTATGAATGTATGCACGTGATCAGAGGATAACGATTATCTGCAAAAAATTGATAAATGAGCAAAGAAACATTATACTGATATCGCCCATACCGATTATACCGACAGTCCTTCGCATCGGTTACGAAATAAATGTAATCGTGGATTCGATTTAGAGATGATAGATTTAAAAGATGGCCGAGAAAGTGTTTCTTACTGAAACTTTGAGGAGCACTCGAGGGGCAGGTATATAAGAGAATCAATATATATGATTAGGACACCCTGTATTAACGCACGAACGCGGAACCTAAGTCGATTGATGTATCAACACATTGATTGCCTCATCCTTGCTATGAAAAACAGCAGCGGATAACTGTATTTCAAGTTTCCTGCGATTTCTCGTTACTTGAAGGTACCGCTATAATACATTGCCCTAATACTAATTAGTTAAATTATAAAAAATTGAAAAAGTATTTTAAAATTGCACTTTGAATAAAATAGCAATAGGCTTTGCATTTAGCAATTACTATAAGTTTAAATAATATTTTAATGAATTAATTAATGATTATTTGTAAATTATTCTCTACACCTTAACGATCCATTTGCGCAACATCCTCGAAGCCTGATGGAATATCTCTATATTGTAATAATAAAATTAATTATGTGACTGTAAGATTTAACTGCATGCATTAATCGTACTTTGAAAATTTAAGCAGACCAAAAAACTAAAATTACAATTAAAATAAAAAAAAAACTAAAAATTGGATACATATAGTGTAGTATAATATATAGTATCTATAATATATACACACACACACACGCGCACGTACACGTTAACTAGGTGCATAATCAGGAAATAAATTTTGTTGCGAATTACCGTCGTTATTTTCGGCTGATCGATCGATAATCAAGACGGACAAATTGAAGCTTATTCCATGCAAAGTGACATGCAAAGTGACATACAAACTGCTCGATGATAGGAATAATTCGCGATCAGTTCGGTCGATTATTTGCCGATTTATTATTTCGATAATGTTATGCGGCAAATCGATTATGGATACGATCCTTATTTCGACTTCCTCCTTCGCCAATAACGGCAATAAGGAAGGAATATCGCGGTCGCGTGCGGCTATCTTCATTCGAGACCTTCTGCAGCGCGTTAACCCGAGCTCGTAGGGTTTATTCTGGCGACAAGGTTGAAGAGATCGATGAGACATAAAAATAAAGTATCTCAACTTTCAGATTACATCTCCCGTAAATAAATTTGATTATTTTGAAAATGCTTAAAAAGAAAATTTATTCTGGCGATAAGATTAAAGAGATCGATTCAAATATACAAAAATATAAAAACAGGATAAGCAAAAAATATATAAGAAATAATATATATATAGATCTGATGTGAATATAGAACTTGTTGTAAATGCCAAAAATAACAATTTTAAATATTTAATTATTTTGGAAAAAATAATAGGGAAAATACTCTTCATTTTGAATTCACTTCAAACATCATGAGTATCGCTATACATTAGAGTTGCAACGAATATTAGGCAACTATTTGATATTCTACCTATTCGGCAACCTTTTTACTATTCGGTCGAACTCCGAATATTAGTCTACTCTTCGGCCGAATACCGAATAGTTTTAAATGTAAAACTGGAAGGAAATAGTAGCTAATAGACTGTGCCACTTCAGTCGCGGACGCGTAGTTTCAACATGCTCGAGTACCTAATTTATTTATTTATATATCTAATAAAATAAAATTTTAAAAAACATTTGTCGTTATATAATGCGGAGAGGCGCGGTCGGGAATGCCGCGCGCCCGCTGCATTGTTTTCGAATAGTCTATGTTGAGCCGTTGACCCTAAAATCGTGCCTAATATTCGCCGAATATTCGGTTATTCGGCACATGGCCTTGCCTAATATTCCGTATTCGGTATTCGGTCGAATATACTATTCGTTGCATCTCTACTATACATATATGGTATATTTTGCGAATATTATTGGCCTCTGTATAATCATTGACGCGAAAATGGCTCTTCCTTTTTTTCAGAGAAAATTATTTTTACGCATCGATAGCTCTTCTTTCACAACGAGTCTTCGTATTTCTCATGATCGCGACTGTTTATTGAGCTGAAATCGCTGCGTCCTCACCTTGTTTGAGATCATAGCCGTACATATATCGGCACGAGAACGGTGAGAGGCTCGGCTGCGGCAAGAAAGCGTCCCAACAGAATCGCACGAGTGTGTATGTACACTCGCCAGGAGAAAGATTTCTGTACGAGGCAAAATTGAACCAGGTTCCAATTCAAGTTGCCACGTGCTTCCTCGCGTGCATGCGTTTCTTTCACTTTTCCTCGATATTACTCCCCCCCCCTCCCCCCCCTCCCTCTCGTCCGGTCCACCGCCGTTCTCACTCTCGGGATACTCGTGTATAGTGACGTCGTGAACTTGGGACTCGAGAAGGTTCGTTCACATAATCGTCAGAATGAGCACTTTTTTCACTTCCTCGTTTCACGATGATCTCGACCAATCGGCAGATCTCATCATTCTGAGAGAAAGAGTCACGTGACGCGTAAATTCCCGTCACTCTTCAATTTTCCACTCGCCACGATGTTCAACATGGGGAGAAGTTGCGCAATCGATCTCCTGCTTACAATGTATCGATGCTTGTCGTTTTCCATATCGTTTTTTCCGCTGCTCTTATTTCATTCGCTTTGTTCACCGAGCCCGGGCTTTGTGGTTACAATCGAATTTTGCATTGGAAAAGCTCGTTCATAATTTCCAGAAATATAATAAAGCTACAACCGGAGCGCTGCTCTCTCACGAAGGAGAAAGAGACTGTCCCGTATTTAGGACCGTATCATGAATCTGTAGAGACTTGAACGATTCGGTTCGTCGAATCGCGCTCGTATATAGGGAAGAACTTTATCGTATCGGGGACCATGCACGAGTCCGGATTCTCTCTGATGGGTTAATAATGTCCGTATCCGTGCTAGTCAGCGGTCGGTCACGCCGATTTTCTCACGCTCGCAAAGCGCGCGGACAAGCAGATCACGTAGCACGGAAAGAATTTAATTCGCCTTTAAAATTGAGGAACGCAAGCGATCGTCCGTAATGTTCGTAATGCCTCGCACGGACGTTCGTTCCGAAATATTCCACAAGTCGTGTTTTGTTCTCGTAGAACCTTTGAATATAATATTCGCCAACGTCGGAAATAAAATTCCGTAAGAGAGAATTTTAAGAATCTCGAGGAATTCACTGTGAATCTTCGCGAGAGTCTTCATCCACAAACGCGCGATTACGCCGACGCACACTAGGTATTTCCGATTTTCTGTCTTCTCGAATCACCTGTTCTCCCGTCTTTTCAAAATTTTGCAGATACAATCTCAGAAAATCGGAATCTCGTAGATACAGAGAATGTATCATCGATTTGGGAATCTTTACGAAGAGAGATCCGTGTATCTCGAGAATTCGAAGATCTTTCTTCTCTTCGACGTGACGTGACGAAAATTCCCGAACACGTAACTTCCGAGAGTTCCACGAACTCCGATCACACTCGAATCAGATTCTCCATTACAAAAAAAAAGGAGAGCAGCATAAAGCGTATCTCGTGCACGTGAACGATTTCCAAGAGTTCGTATATCTAGGAAGGCCTCGATTTCTTTGATGTCATATACTTATAAGAATTCCGAGATACGTGATTCGGCGGTTGGCGAACAATGTAAAAGGCACAATGTAGATTCGATTTCGGCAATCACGTCGAATGCGAGCTGACCGAACACAGGAGAGACTCAGCGCCCGCGACGAACACTACTGACGGCTTTATCCGTCGTCATGTAGGGTCCTGCATCGGAGAGTATATGGGTTTAGGTCGCGGGCTCTCTCTCTCTCTTTCTCTCTCTCTCTTCTCCTCTCGCATTATGTGCTCCCGGTAGGTATAGAGTACTTAACACAGTTAAACGGACGAACCCTCTTGCTGATATGTGACAGGCGACGCGTTATGCGCCCAGCTTCCGCGAATAGCTTTTGCGCCAGACGACCGGCCTGGATCTCCGTTCGTGCCATTTTATGAAAAATCGTAGAAGCGTGCCATACGGTCTTGATGATGATGGAATTTTGG